TGCAGCACGACTGGCTGTTGTCGTTTCGTTCAGGGGCGGCTCTCACTAAATATCTAAATCGACCACTTAATCGGCTACGACCTGCAGTCGCAGAGGGTTCCGAAATAACCAGTCGCTTTGAAAGCCGACCCTGTTAAATGTGAGCAAGAAATGTTTAGAAGACGATTTATTGCCAACCGATATGCTTGGTGCGAACCAAGATTCGTAAAGTATATAGGTTGCCTGGTAAGTATGGGCCAATCAGGGCGAGGCGGAAACTGGCGGGAATTGACGTCACTCAGCAGCCTCATTTAAACAACGTTATGCATAACGTGACTCGCTAACTGTTCAGAAACAATCAAATTTTGTTGTCAAATCAAAAATAATTATGTTAAGTGAAAAAAAGTGTACTATCGTCAAATAAAATTTAGCTCACAGACGCTGTGAACACTGTTAATCACAAATTTCTTGGAGTGAAGTAATAGGTGACCGAAAAAAATTTGTTAGTATAGTGAACCAAGAGTTATAAGGTTATATGGCCATCATAAAATCATCCCATTGTGTCGAAGTTAAGTTGTTTACAATAGAAAAGGTTTTAGGGTCGTAAATAACGTGTCCACTGCAGCTCGACCGGCTCTTGTGGTTTCGTTCAGGGGCGGCTTTCATTAAATATGAAAATCCACCACTCCACTATTTCTTTACTACCTGCAGCCGCTGAGGGTTCCGAAATAACCACTCGCTTTGAAAGCCAGCCCTGTTAAATATGAGCAAGAAATATTTAGAAGATGATTTATTGCCAACCGGTAAGCTTAGTGCGAACCACACAAAGGGGGTATTTATTTGCGGTCAACTACTTTTATGATGGCCATATAACCTTATAGCTCTTGGTTCACTATACCTTAGTATTATTTACTTATTCAGTTAATTGACATGTTTTACTGTTATAAAGACAACAATCTAGTTCTACTGCAAGTCATCTCAGTTTTGGGTATATCCTGTATTCGTTTAAAAATGTCATGTATCAACTTGTCGTGTCTACTTCAACATATTTTTTAAGCAACTTGTGATCTTTTTAAATCAACACATGAAATTATATTAGAATAAATTATTGGTATCGTTAGTGTTGTTACAGGTAATAGTGCAAATCTTACTTGAATGCCGGTCGTTTATTTGGGTAAATGGTGGGTTTAAAATAATAACAATAAAACTACGATAAACGAAAAGACGTTTTAATTTAGAATTTTCTTCATTTTTTTTACTGTTTTTGTAGTTTAGCTTCCTCTTTTCGAAAATTTAAAAATTTGATCCTAATAAAGATCCTTTGACGAGCAAAAGCTTTAACCAACTTGTCTGGAATCATCAAATTATAAACTTTTTTTTTAATATACATAGCTGTGTTGTTGGTAATGTTTTTGCCTTTCACTATATCGTTTTTGTGGAAACGTTGGAAATATTTTTCCATCGCCTCCACTTGATGCATCCAAATTTCTGAGGGTTGTATTAGTCCTCCAAATGACAGACTCTCTATCCAAGATGGCATCATATATGAATGCAAATTCATCGCCCCCTGTGTTTCGTGCGTTTATCGACCAAGAGATGAGTACTCCTTTAAAAAATTTTTTGCTAAATACCCTGCTACATACAAAAGACCATCTTTTTCCGCAGCAGATGTCGAAGAAATAGATCCAGTGGGACTGTTTGTAGAGCTGGCATCATCCTCGACATTCACTGGTTGAGGTTCAGTAATTTGTATGTTCTCAATATTAGCACGTTTCAAGGCTGCAGCCAAAACATAACTATCGTCTTCACATTCCACAGGGATTCCTACATTTGCAGATTTTTGGACTAGGCCTGGATTCTTACCCAGAAGAATCATGCGAATCCGGTACAACGCATTCAAAGGCGAAGGGTGATCATGAAGGCCTCCTCTGGTTCTAAGCTAAAAACAAATATTTTGTAAATGTGATTAAAAAATTATGCCAAGTCTATACCTGAGAAAAGAAATTTTCTAGACAGTCTTGATTTAAGCGATGGGTTAAGATGTAAGTTATGTTCATGGTTTCCTTGAGGTGCTGGAACAAACCTTGCAATGAATTAACATTACAATTCCCCTCTGGAAGGTTTGCAGGCTTTTTTTCCCACAGCAAGTCATGTGACTAATAGTTGCCTTCATGTCTTCTAATGTAGCATTTTGTTGAATCATATTCAATCCAAAAGGTCTTTTTGTAGGAACGACAGCTGACGGAGTATAACTGTTCATGATATCGAACCAGTTATTTACCAGTTCAATAAATTCTCCAACATCTCTGGCCAATATTTTATTCGAACCAGGTATAGTAGCCTGCATAGATATTGTAGCCGTCCATAGAGTCGAAATTTGCGAATAAAAATAAAATCAAACCAGCTCAAACGGAGCCGACGACGGCTTGCAAGTTCTGTCACTACGGCACGCGTCGCATCACACAGGGGTGTATTTAAGGCCGATTGCACAAAATTTTAGGGTCACTATAATCTTACTATGTATTTTCTATCTACGACAAACGATTTGTCACACAGCTACGATCTAGAGAAAGATGGAAGTTTGAAAATGTATTTCAACAAGTGTAAAAATTGCGTTTGGTGCAACGCAATTCGTTCAAGCAAAGTAAAATATGACAGGAAACAAACAGTCCACGTGGACTAGTTTATAGCCGTGTTTGCTGCTAAGATGACCAGGTTTTTCATTCCACCTACCTCCGCAACGATGAATATACCATACCACAACTTGTGTACAGTGAACAGAGCTTCGTTTTTATTGACGAGATTGAGCTAAGAAATGAAACAGATTATATCATAACGGAAAAGATGACTTTTAATATTAAATACGTCTCTGTGCAACGTGTGCCAGAGTGACGTCAGAAGTTGCAAGCCACTGTCGGCTCCGTTTGAACCGGTTTTATTTTATTTTTATTCGCAAATTTCGACTCTGGACGGCTACAATATCTATGCAGGCTACTATAATAGTATATTAAAGAACAAGTTTCATAAGGCAAATATTGAGGCACGAATCCAAGTTTATAGAACGAGCGGCAAAGCCGCGAGTTATATAAAGGATGAGTGCCTCAATGGCCTTATGAACGAGTTATTTATACTATTTTTTCTACCGCACACGTTTTTTCCCAAAATTTAATTGAAATTTGCATTTTTTTTTAATCTGGGGACTTTTGTCGTGGTTGGTGATGGGTTGGTCTGACACTAACCACGAAATATTGAGGTTCGAATTTTCACAACAACAACTGTAATTTGAATCAATTCGAGTTTTTGTAATTTAAAATTGGTTAAAACGTCTTGCGAAGAAGTTACGCGTCCGGAAACATGGGAAATTTTAATTTTACATTTGCCACTGACATTCACCTGACATTTCTCGTCATGGCTACCAATCTTACCGATCTAAATTACACCAGATCTATTAAAGAACGCCTTTCCGCTATTAACGAACTGCTGTGACGTCATTTGCGTGCGTTAATAGCTCTATTAGAAAACCAAAAAACGTGGGCGGTAGAAAAATACCGTTTCAGCGCCGTCGCTGTTGTGTTTGAAAACACCTCGGCTGCCAACCTTACATTTTGTCGCTGTGTTTTCTCACAGGTGACGTGTGTTGACTTAAGTTTGTGACAAGAACTTATCTCGCTACTTGTGGCATCAACAAGTGCTCTCACTGGCTCCACATTAATTAAAGTTCTATCTTTTTAAAGAAAGCCTGTATCTAGGAACCAATTTCTCACTAACTTCAATAGGTGGGGAACATCAGCAAAGAAATAAACAGGTTTTTGAGTGCTTGGATGTAAGATACTGGAGTTTTCAATGCTTAGATTTAATTCTTTCCAAAGTCCCTGATTACCTCCTCCACAGTCAGATGTGCAAGCAACAACATTATAATCAATATCATGTAAACATGTTAAAATGTTATTAATTAAAGTTTTAGTGACTTTTGTGTCAAAAGCTATAAACACCGGCTGCTTCCATGCATCAAACACACCTCTAGCCATCATGACCTGCATGTACGAATGAGGCCCCACTACTTCATCCTCTTTCTGATCATATTCAAACAGACTCGCAATTTTGACTTCATCAAATGATAAAACAGTGGTCCTCTGTAATAACGTTTTGCTTTTACCCATAGTCTCCATGATTCTTAAAACGTCCGTAAGCACCCCATTGCGCAGATTTATATTTGCAGCCCACTGCTGTAATGTAGACAAACCTGGTAATGGATAGTGTAAGGCATCTAATAAATTAAAAGAATATAGCTAACACATCACTTGTTTACAATTAATACCTATTACCATAAAATACTACTATAAACACCGGTAGAACAACAAATTTTCAACAAAATTACTCAGTTTCACTACAGTAAACAAGCTGTCTGCAAGCTGTGGGCACGCTGGATAACGTAGCAATATGGCGACACCTCCCACCACTCGTTAGTTACCAGGCAACTTTATATACTTTACGAATCTTGGGTGCGAACCACACAAAGGAGGTATTTATTTACGGTCAACTAATTTTATGATGATCATAACCTTATAGCTTTTGGGCTACTTTATATGTCCCTAATGTTGGGAATTTTGACGATTACTCGGAGCAAAAACTAACGTCCGCTCTGTTTAAGATCGTATATTGAACTGGGTTATAATATATCAGCGCAACCAACAACTCCCTTGTCTATGACTGGGTTTGAGCAGAGATAACTTCGAGATGTGCAACTGTGTGTAAATTTTTACTCCTAACAACTTAGCTGGGCGATTGTAATCTCAAGTGAAAGCAGATGGCGCTGTTGGCGTCTTACCGCGAAGATTTTGAAATTTGATTGCACTGATTGCCTTAATTTCTCTATCGTTTGCACTGAACATCAATATCTCACTTCGGTTCAACGTCATTGCAATTGAGCTCAACAGTGAAATGACTTTAAACGGAAGTAACATATCTGATGTTCAGTACACAAAAAAAACACTGTGTCATAGGACTAATTACGCAAAAACTTCATAAATAGGAGAGTATAATATGGCAACAAGTGCTACATGAAGCATAATGTGACATTAACGACTATAAAAATTCAATCCCAAATATAAGGAATCGTTAAACTGAATGTAATTTTATATGTGCTGCAGCTTTTTCATTTTTTTTGACATCGTGGATTTGGACTTCTTTGCCTTTTTAGCTTGTATCGATTCAGCCTTCTGCCGTTTGCAGTACCATGGTATTCCTATTAGACATACACCTGTTGCTATAGCCCGTAAAATAAAATTCTTTATGTTGGTCACATGTAAACCAGGCAGACGGAACTGTTTGAATAATTTGCTGAATAGTATCCTTTGTCACACCAGTTTTACCACCAAAAGCTGGTAGAAAGTTTTCCAATGCAGTTACTGCAGCACACACATATGTTACCAAACTGTCTGAAGGGTAGCTTAATTTCTGCTGCTTCTCAGACCACTCTTTAAATGTTATAAACATATTGTGTGGCTGATCTGGTTCTGCAGTGAGGAGGTCATGACACATATCACATTCTATTTTGGACAAAATTCTACCACTTATGTACCCGCTTACGTATGCCACAGACAAAATTTCCGTATTTCCACCAGCTACACATTCGGCAGCATCGTTGAAAATATCTGCTGCAGTTGCTGGTAATGTGGCGGTTGCTGATGATGTGGGCTGAGACGATGGAGCTAACGGAGTTACTCCTAATTCCTCAGTACTCTGACTTGTTGGTCCAACACTTAAAAATTGTTGGAGATTGGTTAACAACTCATGCTCATCAGCTTCACAGTTGCCGTCCAATTTCTGAGTTGTTAATCCATTTAATATTTGAATTTTCAAACTTCCAATAAACTGGAAACATGTGGGGTTGTCTCCGCTGCCACATCCTCCTCGCACAGCGCCAAACAGATTCTCTAGTGCGTCTTGATTTAGCGACCTGGGCGCGTATTCTCTAACTCATTTGCGTTTAGCGTTTTAGAACGCAAAGCGTTTATGACGTCAATTTTCGCATGGTAACGTAACAAATTTAAAATTTGGTATTCTCTATTTGTCTTACGTTTCGCATTCGCAAAAACGCTGACCGTTTTGAAAACGGTAAGCTGTAGGTTGCGTTTTGCTCGTCGTTTTCGTATGTGACATTTAAAAAAAAATCATAATTTCTTGCAATGGCAAATCTGAATGAGTTTTTAATCCAAAATGTTATAGAAAATGTTGAAAAAGGTGAAAATCAGCAAAGAGTTCGGATTGAAGCGGTCGATCCGTTTGACTTGTCTGATTTTCGTTTTATTAAATTGTTTAGGCCTAACTACTCGGACAAAGGTATAAACATTTATTTTTATTACGAAAAAGTTATCATTGCATCTCTTAATTTAGTTACTTGCTGCTCTAAGATTTTTTGCCGGCGGTAGTTACCAACTCGACGTAGGAGGTAACTACACTGTTGGACTCAGCCAACCGTCTGTGTCGCGGGCAATTCACGAAATTATAGACGCCTTTAACACTCCGTTTATGTTATACCGTTTCATTAAATTTCCGCAAACAATTGAGGAACTAACAAACATTCGGCAAAGATTTTTCATTAAATTTGGATTACCGGGTATTATTGGGTGTATTGACGGCACTCATGTTTCGATCGTTACTCCCATCGAAAACGAACATTTGTACATAAATCGGAAACGGTATCATTCTTTAAATGTCCAAATTATTTGTGATGAAGAACTCAAAATAACCAATGTGAATGCCAGATTTCCGGGCAGTACCCACGACAGTTTTGTTTGGCAAAATTCTAATATTTTTACTTTTCTGCGGGACCTCCCACGAGAACACAGAGGCAGTTACTATTTACTAGGCGAGTCTGGATATCCCCTTAGAGCGTCCTTATATCGGAAGCCGTATATTGGTTTGAAATTTTTTGTTTTACCATGTCCGGGTTCTCCTCGATGAATTCTAATAACATTCGCTTTTGCAAAGCGGAGTAATGCTTTTTTGTGTTCGACATTAGATAAAGTTAGAAAAGTCACGATTGTCAACAATAAAAAAAATTAGAATTGACAGAGAAGTTATGCTGTGTTGCCAGCAAGTGCTCACCGTTTTCGAAACGACTGGTTATTGGAAAACGGTTGGCAATACAGAATACCAAATTCAATTGACTGACGATGTGCTTGTCGCTTTGTCATGACTTTGACGTCTCACATTACGCTAAGCGTTTTCAAAACGTTACGTTTTGGTTCTGAATTAGAGAATACGCGCCCTGGGCCGCAAATATTCAAGCCCTTGAAGCCGAACACAGTCCCAAATCGCTTTTATCGCTCGCATGGAAATCAACCAACCAATTTGTGATAGAGGATTGCTGTTTTTTAAATTAGCCGTTTTGGTATGTCTTTGGAATTGTCATGTTTTCACAGTCTGGTATGCTCTCTCCCAGTACGACAAGTGCTTTGACTCTTGGGAAATTGCGCACTTCAACTCCTTGTCGCCTGGTGTAAGTTGGCTTCCATTAAAGCTGTCGAACAGCTCATCAACTTGTTGAACAAATGTTGCAGTCGCCACAGTACGCTGCTCCATCTCACCTAAAATTTGTAATAGAAAATTACTTTACGATTATACAATTATATGACTCTTACCTCGGGATAGTAAGATGTATAAAAACGACGCAACTGTGTGGCTCATTACTTGCGCTGCTATGCAGACTTTCATACTATACTGCATAATAGGTGCCAAATGAATATCTTTGATTTTCCGCATCGCTTGGAAAATAAATGGGGTATTTTTGTCAGTTGTATGGGCATCAATGATGTCTTGGAACTTGGCTTCCATAATTTGTTCTTGGCCTCCAATTTCAACTGGTAGCAAAACAGAATATTTGCGGAACAATGCCACGGTGCATTTTAATAAATGCGGAGGGTCATACATTGTGTAGATGTTCTTTTCGCCAAATGTAAAATATGGAGTTTGTATCGAGGCTCCCATTGCTTTAAGGGCCTTCACATTATTTTTCCCCATATCACAAATAGTGGCAACAACATCAAATCTCCCAAATGTAGTTGCTGCATGCAGGACTTCTTGAAGGCACCTCACTACGTCAGTTGCAGTGCAGGCATTGTGGCAAAAGTAATATGCCACAGGTTGCTTCCACTTTCGTGACACACCCTGGCACATAAAAACTAATGCCTTGTTGGCAACTTCAAGTCTGTTGTCTTCGCCCCCGAAATCTGCATAACCAATAATTCGGTCCGCACTTTTATGATAATACAAATTAGCTTGTATGTCCATCTCATCAAACAGAAGGACACACAGCCTATCAGTTTCTCGTGTAGGGATTGGTTTAAGTATCTAAACAAATGTTCATTTATTCCCACTTCCAAAGGCACTTTTTCTAGCAGTGCAAGAATTGTCCTTCTTGACGGCAAGGCCACAATTTTGCGTAAAAAGTTGTAACATTTTGGCCCCCTTTTATAGATCGCCAATGCTACAACTTTTTCTGCATCACTCCACCTTCTTCCTTTTGGTGCTCGCTTTCCACACCTCAACTGTGCAATTAAAAAATTAGCCGTTTCTTGAGACAATCCTTTAAAAAGGGTCCGTGCAACATTTGACTCAGACAAATCTTGCAATGCTTTAATATCCTGTCCACGTTGCTTGCATTGCCTCTTCAGTTTCCGGATGTGATCCTCCTTTTTTGTTACCACATCCATTAGATAGCGTTTTCTTGGTGTACTCTCAGCACGTGATAGGCCTTCAATGCCCTTGAACAACGGGTGCTTTCGTTTTTCACTTCGAGATGTACTCGCGATTGGTATTTCTTGCGATATTCTGGGAATGGCTATTAATGGTTGTATTGAGGAACTGGGCACTAGTGGTGTATCTTCTACAAGTGAGGAAGCAGCTACGTCGACAGTTGTTGATCTTTCTGCATAAACAAAGTATGTATTAAACCAATTGTGATATATTTGAACACAATACATAACATTTACTAATAATCATGATTTGTAATTGTAATAAATCTAGCTAAAGTAAATTTCGCAATATAAAAAAACTGTGATAGATCAAAGAACAATTTGAAGCAAGTCGAATATTGTAGATGACGATAAAGGGACTTAACTTCTCCACAAAGATCATTCACTGATGGCTTTGCTTTTTGTCAATTAACATCATGCACTTGATAGTTCCAATATTCCTTTATCATCTTGTATACTACATCGATGTTATTTACCAAAACTTCCAGTTTCTTCATCTCTTGGTTGTAATGTTGGCTTACAAGAGAAGAGTGTTGGAACAGCATCTCGTCGAAGTTTAGAATCCATATAACTATTTGCAGTAAAATAACGAGAACATATTCTTTGGTTCTTATGGGATTCCCCAGAATACGTCATTCCCATGTTTTCCTGCAATATCTTTGACCTGCAATTACAACTTTATTAATTTTTAATGTCGCATCAAACTATTAAATTACCTCTCCACATTTGATGGAAAATGGTGCATCCTTTCTACTTCCGTTTCTGAACATCCACAAACCAGACATAAATATCTTGTTGAAGACATCGTGTTCAGAATGGCTCTGTAACAACAAATATTGTAACGGACTCCTTGGAAGCAAATCTGAATTTGCTTGTCGACAGACGCATCTATGGCCAAGTTTTTGTATTCACAGTTGGCCATTTGTGAAAATTGTCACCACAAGCACTAAAAACACAATAAATGGAAAAGGGTCCACTGAACAATTTATACCTCCCAAGGTACTCATTATCGCATGAGGGAGGTGGGAGGAGGAGGAGGAAGGAATGAACACGGGTTTTTCTTTAGTAGTGGGGATATAGCGTTCAGGGGGATTGATGGGAATAGAAAACGTGTCGTTGAAAAATCACAAATATGGACATTTATGTACGGTACGGCCGAATTTTTCTCGTACCACTCGTTCCGCTTGCTTCCTCCCTCTCCAATCGGGAAAAGCATGCGCACATACAGGGTGACTGCGAAATATATGCAAATATTTTAACCACGGCATCCCCCACCCTAGTAGAGCCGAAATATAGAAAAAATAAATTAAAAATTGAATGGGGCAAAACCCACATGAACCACCTTCGATACGAAGGCACTGAGCCACCTTGTAAACAGAGTTGGAAAAACGTTCGAATAAAAACGACCTAAACACTTTCAGTTTCAGTTAAAAGTAAAACCGACTTTTTGCTGCTTATCATTCGTTCTTCATTTAGTCATTCATTGTTAAAGGTCAGTGTGAAAGTTTTTTGGTAATTTTGATTCTGACGGATGTTTGGTCCTTGTCACAACGATTTTACATTGTTTATTGGAACAGAAATAAGAGCAACTTAGAATGCTACTACGTTTTTACAAGAAATGTAGAAAATGTTGTCCTTGACTAGCAATTCAAGCGTCAGAGCGTCGCAGGGCGTTTGTTGATAGGTAAAAAAACACCGGAGTAGCGGCTGCCACTTTCACTTGTTGAAGCTCTTCGATTATTTCTGGACACTGTTGATTTCCACAAACGAATTGTTTCATCCAACCAATACACGTTTCTCGAAAACCGTCTCTTGAAATTTGATTTGTTGACGACTACGTGAAGTTCCATCGGACAAAAAGTGAGTTACACAACGTGGACAATCAGTGGACTCCAAACCGTGCACTTTGTCAACATGGTATGGTTGTGACCGTGTACTTTTAATGTAGGATGCACTACAAGCTGCGAAAATCCAATTTCTTCTTTTTGTCCCATCACGACCACGATCGTGAGTTTGAGGTTGAAGGTACCATGATCTCGGAGATGCTGTACCACTGACATAAATGTTCGCGCACATGGAATGGCGCGATTTGGAAAGCGTTCGATCCACAATTCGCGGGCCAAGCTTGAGTTCCCATCCGCTACCCCATACAGCATTACCATGTCGGCACGCTCTGAATTTGTAAAACTCACCATTGTCAAACACAACCGAACACACCCAGCTACGGCAAGTAACTGATACACGACTGTCCTTATCGTCTTTTTGCACTAGTTTTTTGGTTCTTAAACTTCGTCGCTGTGTGCCATTCATTGTAGTAATGATGTAGGTCAAGAAACACTACCAGCGGCGTGTGTAACAATTTATATGTAATTTCAAATAATTTTTTCTCGACGCTGCTACCACTTAGGACCGTGAATTTTATACAGTGACATACTCGTATCGTGAGCTATTCCCCATTTTTTTTTTTGCACATATTTCGCAGTCAGGCTGTATAGTCTCATAACTCTCCCCGCTGAATTTAATGGACGATTACAATTCAGAATATGTGCTAAATATGACTAACAATAGTATAGGTAAAAGATACTTAGAAATACTACATAATAAGTTATAAATACAATACATATTAACGTTGATCATACATGAGTTCATTCGCAAACAAACTGAATGCGGACTATACATATACGAATAAACTGATTGCGCCCTGTTATCACTCACAACAGTCCTTGTTAAAGTCGATGGACAAAATGTAAATTTTCGTTAACGGTCTTTTAAACCCACCCCGCACTGTTTTATCGTCACTACTCTGTCCGTCTTTTCCCGGGTGTAGCTCCTCGATTCATCCTAAAGGTCACTGCTGCGGTGGAGTGCTGGGTTCACGGGCTACCACCAGGTTCCCCTTGGCAGGCTTCAATGCTGGGATATTCCTCCACTTGTACCTGGTTTGTAACTGGTGCAGGTACTCGTTAGACCACCGTTTCCACACATCTTGTCTCATCTTCTCCAGAAGCTGGAAGCGAATTAGGCGATTGGTGGGAAGGTCCCTCAGGTCTTCTTCTACCGGGGCGGTCAGCGGACCACCGATTAGAAAATGGGTCGGAGTGAGTGCGGCGAGGTCGTTCGGGTCATTTGATAATGGGGTGAGAGGCCTGAAATTTAGACATGCCTCTATCTTAATTAACACCGTATTCATTTCCTCATAGTTCAACAAAGTATTACTTAAAACTCGTTTAATGTGTCCTTTAATTAACTTTACAGCAGCCTCCCATAAATCACCAATGTGGGGAGCGGTTGGAGGGATAAAATTCCAAGTAGTGCCTAAATTTGAAAGATTGCTTATCACCACATCCTTAGATGATCTTGTTTGGAATAACTGATAACCCCTACGGGAGATAAACCGTTTTACTGCGTTCAAAAATGAATTTGATGTACAGTCACACACAAGCTCTATATGAACCGCTTTGGTAGCGAAACACACAAAGACGGCGAGGTAACCTTTTATTGCTTTTACCGTCCTTCCATGACCGCTTTTTTAGTGTGAATGGCCCTGCATAATCAACACCGGTTCTGGTAAATTAGTGCCTGAGGGGACTTCATCTTGTATATATGGTATGTATGGCGTTGTTAAAAAACTAGGGCCGTGGCACCACAAATCTGAAGACATCAAAGGTTTCTAGGAATTCGCACCACATAGTGTGTAGTTCAATAGGCAAACTTTCGCCCCAATCTAGTTTTAGTAAGCATAATTTCTGTACAGCATCTGAACGTTAGAAAAATTTACGTCTTACCGTCTACTTTACGGTTTGTTGTGGGTTCTTTTATGAAAATAATATATCGGCAGCTTCACAATGTTTATTAATGTGAACGAAGACAGTACAGAATTGGTATCCTCTAAAAGATGATATGCGCTTATATATACTTGGATGGTTTGGTGATAATGAAAGATGACCAATGAGGGGTGGATGATAACAGGATGATTCTTAAAACTAATGGGTTTACATTACACCTCTATCCCTAAAAAAGGATTCAACTTAAGAAGTTGAAAAGTTGAATCTTACAGTTATGATTACATATTATTTTTATTATGTAGGTGTTATTGTATTTTTTAAAGGACCGCATTCGTCCTCCTCTGCGCAACGCGTGCGGATCGTCGAGGTGCGAAAATGTTGCCGTGTTCGGCCGGTGGTGCGTCTTCCAGAACATCCTGAGATGTAGATGTCATGTAGTGTGCTTCTGCCTCCTCCTCTGGACTTGATGCCTCTAGCGGGGCCAATGCTAGAAATTGCCTCGGCCTTGTGGGGGGCGGCAAGCGTCTTCTTCTTCGCACGACACGATGTACTAGAATGAGTACACCAACGAAGATTACGGTAGAAGCAACGACATAGCCCATGATAGAAGTATGTCTTAGGGTCGTCGCGTGTTTCTGGGCTTCCTCTTCCTTGAGGACTTCCATTTCTAGGTGGTCGAGGTTATGGTTGGCAGCACCTATATCTTGGATAAAGTTGTCATATGCCTTCATCCCAATAGACGGATGTCGTAGCTTTGTCGAATTCAATTTTTTCAGCAGTATTTGGCTACAACAAATCGTTGAGATGTTTAATGTGGGTACAAATGAAGCTGGACTCGTCTGGTTCTGGATGCTGGCTTGTGTATTGAGAGTACCGGACTTTGCGTACCCCCTGCAGTTATTCGCAATTGTTATACTCCCTGTACCATTAATTTTCACGTCAAATGGCGTCATGTGTATACATGAGATGATAACTGTGTCCACCATCGTCGTCACAAAGGCCCAAGAGTTAAGTGAGTGAAGTTTAATAAAGAGTGTATTGTTTAGATGTATCAACTTTTTGTTGCAAGAATTTGGAATAGTTTGAATATTATTATTAACAATTAGAGCTATTTCACAGCTTTGTTCTACGTGAGCAATTTTTACAAATGAGTTTTGTTTGCAAATAAATTTAGGTAAAGTGGAAGTTTCAAACTTGTGACAATGTGAAATTTCGGCTTCATTTAGATAAAAATAAAGTTGTTTGGAGTCATCTACTGCTATGTATCTGTCATTTGGCAAAATTGTTATAAAATTGTTGTTTAAAACGTGAGCAGGCAAGGGTTGCAATTCATAGATATAGTATTGCGTTACATCTAAAAGTGGAATTTTGACTACGAAAACGAAATTGTTATTATTAAAAAATGACACTATAGATGCGACATCAAAGATTAGATGAGAGTGTTCCTCATCAGGCGTTGTCGGGAGTTCTAAACCTGTTGGTAAGTTTTGTTGAGCGATTTTTAATTGGGCGACGACCTCTGTTGGTGATAGTATAGAAGGATGTAGGCTACCACGGCGAGCGTCAAGAATCGATTGAAAGAGTGTTAAAACATCAAAACTGTATTGGCTAAGATAGGTATTAAAAAGTGAGATGTGCTCATCTGCACTTACTTCTTGATAGATTCGTTCAATATGCTCTTTGTTATTATTTATGGCATTTGTAATATTCCCTAAGCTTTGAAATAAAATTTTTTGGTTGTCAGTAACGGCTTTTAACGTGTTGTTTACGGTCAAAATTGTTGTTCTTACTATGTTTATTTGGTCTTTTACTAAGGTTGTGACCACGCGCGAACTTTCTTCTGATTGTTTTATTAGGGTGTCGTAGTGTTCGGCATCATCAGAATCCATTGTTCCAAATAATACTTTAGCTCCCTTACCTATGATGTCGAACCAACCTCTACGAATACGTGTAGTATGACCTAATAGACCATCAATTTGTTGCAACTGATGTTGTAGTTTTAAAAGTGATAATTCTGATGTTTTATTAAATATACGACAGGTGGTATTTGATATAACATTCACGGATAGGCAAGAGTTGAGAGTAACTTCCCTATATTTTTGTAATGCAGATAATTGTTCTCTGAATTCGTTGTAATTGACATAAGTTAATATTTGCCATTCCTTATTATATAATTTTACTTGTCCTATAGTTTCGAAATGAATGCCTGGGTTATTAGAAAATTGGGTCACGTTTACCGGTGGAGGAGAACAATTGGTAATAGAGAGTACACCACAAAGGGCGAGCAAGCACAGGTACCTGAAACAAGGTGGAGAGTTAATGGAAGAAAGTAATTTAGAGAAAGTTAATTTGACGTTAGATAAAGAAGGGTTTTATCCGATTAGCATGGATTTGTAATGTACGTCTACCCATTTTTATAGTATAATTGACTGGTGTGTCTTTTGATATTATGGTGTAAGGGCCTAACCAAATAGGGTCTAGTTTCTTCGAACGACCGCGTCTAGG